CCCCAAATGTGTTAAAAGATAAATTAGAGAAAAATAAGTGTGAAAAATACAAAAAAAAAAAAAAAGAAAAGAAAGCACAGCAGGACATTTTTCATGGATGTTTTCAGGGAAAAATGGTTGTGACTTACTATGAGGCTTTTATGCTCAACACAGTTCCTAGTAAGTTGCTGTTTTAAATCTTAAGATATCTCAGTTATTTCTCTCCACCACTATTATCCCTACATCAGTGTCAGACCACTGATTGTGGTGGCTTTTCAGCCACACAGAGGAGGGCAGGGCATCTGTACCTCACCAGGTATCACACCAAAAAGCAACTGGTGGCATTTTGTAAATCCGCACTCCAACATTGGGATTTGTCTCTATTTTATTAAAACACAGGATAATGCATGGTCCCAGACAGTGTACAAAATAGCAATTCACTTCCAGCTCCTCTATGGAGGTTGTAGCACTAATGAAGCAAATCACATCACAGGGAATATAGCCATGATTTAGTACATGTATAACTGTAACAAAATGTTGTTATGGCTGAGATTGTTATGTTTTTAATGAAAAAAAGAAGAATTAGGATTGAAACTGAAAAACAACCCAGTTCCCATAAAAGGTAAAAATGTACTTGGATAAAAGGTTAATAGAGTTAATTGTGGGGAGTAATACAAGACAGCAACTCATGCTAGAGGAGATAATTGTGATTCTGATAAAGGAGAATTGTAATTAAATAGAGGTTGGATAAACACGATTATCCTGAAAAGGTTTCCCATCACACTACCGGGAGGTTTTAAGATGTGGAGGCAGACGCCTGTACGTGATCTGGAAGTAGAGACACCACTGCTGCCAGCCCTGCTGGGTGCTCACCACTGCAGCACACTGCCCACACTGCTGCTCTGGCCAGCAAAAAGCAATAAATTGAGCTCATTTTGAAGTTTAGGTCACCTGCAACACTAACTGGCAAGTGAGCTCCTTGTCTTGCTTACAACCCCCAAAATTTCTCATTTCTGCTGGTCCCCATCCTGCTGTGGGGGGAGCAGCTCTGGGTGCTGGCCAAAGTTGATCTGCCCGGGATGGCTGTGGGCTGGAGCAGGTGAGGGCATCCCTCCCATACTATGCTTCTTCCAGAACTGATAGAATTTTTTTACACAGATATCCAAATGAAATGCAGTAGTTTGACACTGAAACCTGAGAGGCAAACGGAGGCTTTCCACACTGATCTGTTTAACTGAAATGGGTATGTGTGCTTAATATTCTTATTTGCTGAGTAACAAATATTCCACAATGACCTGTATGAGATAAAGTGAATCAAATACACCACATTCCTTACAGGACAACCAGAAGAATTACAAAATGCTTTTGTGTTTTTGTTTCATTTCCTTTAAATTGCAAAACATTTTTACTATATTTTCAACTTTTAACTATTTATTATTATATAATAATATATATATATTATATAAATATATAAATGTATTGAATTTGAATACAGGATGGTATTAATTCACATTTCTCTATAATTCCTATGGATTATTTTACGTAACACATACAGAATAAAACACTCTGAGAATTTACTATCAAATACTTCTACTGTTCAATTATTTATAGTACTGTTTGGAACCACTGTATATCGTAAGGATATACATTCCCAGATGCCTAAGGAAAATTTCTACTGGAGTTCTATTATTCCCTGTTTGGAGCAAGTGAATGTCTCACTAGGGACCAAGTTTCTTTTCCCTTCTCAAAAAAGAAGAGGGAGATATTTTTGCTTTCAAGTTTTTGTTTTCCCAGTGCCAACTGTATTCCAGATCTTCAAGCAGACTTCACAACCCCATATACAGAGACCAATTATGAACCCTTACTGTCACCTTTAAGCTTTCCCCTTCAAACCCTTTTTCCTTTAAATTTTCTCCCCAGCCTCTGTGCTTGCCTTATGTATTTCTGTCAGTTTACAAGCTACAGTTAATCCTAAAAGTGGGCTTGGATTCTAAGTGTATCCTCAGTGTTTTTTGAGCATAATCTACAACACATTAGGTTGCTGACAATACACATATTGGAATAATCCTGTAAGTATTAGGGTGGATAGCATCTGTTGTGATAGTGAATGAGACTGAGAGCAAAATGAACTGAAATTACTTGTGGAAACTCCCAGCACATTTTCTTTGGGTTTTCATCTCTGCAGCTGGCATGTGATACAGTAATTGTCTTACTCACATTCCTGTCTTCTCTGCTTGTTAAGTTTGCTGAAGTTTGCTGAAGTTTCTTGTATCAGACATGCATTTATTTGCAACCATTTCTAAGATGATGACTATTGCCTAAATCAGTTGTTGAAACTTGAATTCAGTGCAGGAAATATTTGGATATCATGATTATTTTTAAACTCAGACATGCACAACAACACCTTTGCTTCCCAGTCTACAACTACATTTTCTTTGCAAGAGCTTCTGTTTATTGAAGATTATTGAAAGACTAATTTTTTTATTTTTTATTTTTTTTTAATATTTTAAAGTTTCTGCGGAGTTCATTTCCTGGAGGGATATTTCTTTTTGTCACTATATAGCAAGTATACACAGGACCTAGAATCAAACACAGCTCATAGAGATGACACAGGAACATTATTCCCACAAACCACCTCTAAGGATAATGGCTGCCTATGCTGCATCCACAGGTTTTGGCATCCACTAAATGAATGTAGAGATGGGAAAGTTAAGACCAAGTTGTACACCTACCTAAAACATGTTTTGAACAGCCTGTCACACAGTGCTTCTGGAAAAACAACCTTTCACTGGTGAATGATGTATTTTCATTTCCTAAAGGAGAGAGGGGTTTTGAGAATATATATATTTATTAATTCTGCAACAATCAAAACTGAACTTCGTAAAATGTGTTTAATTTCTCTGAAAATGTTATTCCTTTGGCTCTGACTTGCTATCAATGATTTTTTCCCCAATGTTGTAGTAACAAAAACATGGCACTTTTACTTCAGAAAGTAACTGCCAACATGCTGTAATTTTGTCTTTTCCCAAGAGAAAAAGAAGCAAAAGCTTTAAAAAGGAAACAGTGAAATGGTTACTGCTTGTGTTTACCGACAACCAAAGGTGAACCTTTCAGTTATTTTGCAGTCTCCCCAGCCTAACATCCTGCAATGAGAGGATGGAACACTGAGCTCCTTGCCATGGAGAAGGATCTCTACGTGACTTACTGGCAGTGCAATGACCCAATGAAGCAGGGGCAGCTTCATAAGGAAAATTGAGGCTAACACTCTTCAGAATTACAAAAGGGGTATTCTAAAACATTATGTTTAAACTCAGTAAATGCAGATGTTCCCCTCCAGTGCAAACTACTGTACAAAAAGTAATACTCCACAAGAGACCAATGTTCTCTATTCCAGATGCTGTTCAACTAATCTTCACCTAATTTTGATTAAGGTGCCTCCATATACGTGTTTGCATGAAACAGAATTTATGAAAATTTTCTAAGCATGGGTGCCAGCCTGGTCCATAAAGACCATGAGAACTTCAGCCTCAGGAAGAATATGGAAAGAAGTAATCAGCTCCCATAAGACTTCTGTTAGCAAAATATGTTTAGCATTTTTTTTTTTCTGCAGACAACCTATATTCCTGTAAAGCTTTAAGACTCCTGAAGTTTCAAGGGACTCAAATAATCTTGCTAGGTGATAGGTATCTAGCTACTGCAAAGTTGATAAATCAAGTGATGAAGTTTTTTTTTTTCTTCACTGAAGAGGTGTTCAGAGAAAAAAGAATTCCAAAAAGCTTTCCTCCAGTGAGATTGGAAAGTATTTGAGCCTTGTATTTGTCATTTGTTCAAATTAAGAACACTACTACATCTAAGGTCAGATAAAGGTGGATTTCTTCTGCTACTTTTTGTCTTCATTTTATCAAGCATATCCTCAGCTTTTTCACAACACAGGAGAAGTGATGTCCTCTGCAGCTGTGTCCCCCATTCGTGAAATATACAGAAGCACCCTGGTAAATCTGCTTAGCTAGCAAGGTGATGCAGACAGCAAAAGAAAATAATGCTGAGCACTTTACAGACAAAAGACATACCCTGACAACACCTCATGTGTGTTTATAACATGTAGAAGCAGACAAGGTGGAAAGAGAGAAGTTTAAATGGAATATTCTGGTTTTCAAAACATTTTGAAGGTATGTCCAACCCAAATCCCCCCTGACACAGCTTGAGGACATGTCCTCTTGTTCTGTCAGTAGCTGCCTGGGAGAAAAGGCCAATTGCCACCTTGTGACAACCATGCAGAGCAGCATGGCAAACAACGGAATGAGCAGATGGCAGTGATATTCTGTTTGCTGGTAATTTATTTAGAAGACACCAATATTCAAGTCTTTATCTTCAGTTGTTTGTCATGGGTGTGTACCTCCACCATTCCTACCTTTACATGCCTAGATCTCTTTTGCATAACTAACATTCTTATTTTACCTTCTTACCTACAAATGTATCCAAAATGAAAACAGTAGAGTTCTGTCTACAGTTAAACTACCCCTTTCTTTATGCAATGGTAGTATGAAATCCAAACCAAGAAAGACAAAAAAACTCCCCATCCAAACCCAAAACCTTGGAAAATCTGGGCTTTGGGTGTGCAGAAGTATTGCCCATGATTAAACTGTTTATTAGGAGGCATTATTTTCCCATGTCAAGAATATCTGCCACGATAGTTCTGCTATATTTCATTGGTTTCACTTTAAATCCTGTATCTGTTATTATCAAAAGTCCTTAATGTAGGCCCTGAGAGGCTACTTCCGGTAACACAGCCCTGAAGCTGCAAGACAAAATTGGCAACACCACACAATTCTTGTGTAGACTGTCTGCAACATTATCCAATGTGAGATAAGGCAGCAGCTTTCATCATTGGCTATCTGTTGTCCTCTATGACAATGGTTCTTCTTGGATAGGTCTCAACATCCACAAAAATGTAGCGAACCTCAAATCTTCCTGTTTCAAGATTCTGGAAAGAAAAATTTCAGAGTGTTTTTTTCTCTTTTGTAATTTAAATTCAAGACTAAGCTCGTCAGGTGTACCAAGCAATTGTACATACCTCTTTGACTTCCACATGGACTGTTCCCTGTTTCCCCGATTCAGTGCCCTCAATATAGAACTTCAAACGCAGATGTTTCAGTCCATCCTTTACGTATTCAATGTGACTAAAAACAGCAACACAAAACAAAAACCCAACCACCCAGCAAGAATACAGATTATATGCTATTTAAGACTTCAAATTTAAACTTACTTAGAGGAGTTGCTTACTTATTTTGTAAGAAAGTGTATTCCGGTGGTGTCCTTATGCTACCTTGGGTTCCTTCTCTACTGCTCCTCTCAAGCTTTACTGTGAGTGCCTAAGGACTAGTGGAGTTAGAAGAGCTCATTAGCTGCTGAGGATTAAGAAATTAAATGCTTAAATGTCCTCACCCCAGTCCTCCCCTCAAAACTGAAAATCAATCCAATGCTGAAGACCATGCAACTTTCTTGTATTTATTCTAAAGAAACCCCAGATTTGGAGCCTGACATCTAGAAGATGACCCCACATCACCAAGTTGTTCTTCCAGAGTTTTTTTAGGCACTTAAACTAAGTTATCAAACCAAAACACACACAGAATGTTTTTTCAAATTAATTATCAGGTTGGTTAAACCACATCAAAACAACCAGTTTACTATGTGTTTTACTTACTTTGGCAATAATTTTGTTCTGCTGAAATTGTGTAATTTTGGTACTGATATGAGATCTCCAACTTAAATGCTGGTATTTAGACTGGAGTTGAGTTATGCTCAAGTATTAAATAAATAGCACATAACTTTCAAAGTGACCACTTTGGGAAACCAATAATCCCATGAGAGTTCTGGTGCCAGTTTATGTTTCCTGCTGAAATTATTAACTGCTGTTTAGCACCAATCTCTTACTTCCATCAGTCGTGCCCAGGTACACACTGTGAAATAAACTTCCAATATAGTTTAAAGTGACACGATGGGGTAGAGAGAATAAATATGAATAGTCTAACTGCAGTAAATTTATATTCAAGGTGTTCATACACAAAAAAAACCTGTAGATTTTGAGACATTTAAGATCATTCTTATACTGCAGATGCAAAGCCTACAATCTTACACAGTTCTTAGCTCAAAAATTAATTTGAAATACTAGGCATTCAAAATGATGGAAATTAAATACTAGGAAAGCTGTTTCATAGTACATTTACTTATTTACAGACACGTGCTCAAAATGTTTGTGCACATCTATTTCATTTAGCAGCTTCACTTTAAACATTTTTTCAAAGAGTCTGGTGAAGAGATAAAGCTTCAACCAATAAAAGCCACTTTCCTCAGACAAAATAAAAAATCTCCATTTCTTGGTTCAACCTGTGCCTGGGTTTATGTTTCATCCCTTATAAAACCTCACTGAACATGTTCCTGTCAAATAACCCAATAAAGGCAAAGCAGGGAGGACTTACATTTTGTAAGAAATAGTTTTATTGTTTCTTTCAAAAGGAAATAAATAGACACACTCATGAAAGGCTTAGGTGATGTTCTGTTAAATACTCAGTAGAGATGTTGCCTCAAGTACCAAAAGGCATTCTGCATACCAGCTCCATATAGTCTCAAACTGTAAACTTCTGTCAGATTACTGCTCCCCCCAAGCAAGCCTAGGCCTTTGTACTACTCTTTTCAGACTTTTACTATTTTTTGGAGAGCTGTATGTCTACCATGATGAATATTACTTGCTTTGAGGCACTCAGAACTCGCATTTTATATTGTATGTACACTGTGTGAGAGGTATATGGCACACAAGAGGTCCTGCAAAAAACTTCTGTGTTCATTCAAAAGTGACAGGATAGGTCACATTCAGTTCATCACTCTAGAACTAACTTGTGATCCAAAAATATCTTTGCTGTGCAAAACCAGATGTCTTCTTATGGGGCAAACACCAACAGGTACCTGACATGCTGTCGTCTGCCTCTTCTTGTTGCCTCTCCATAACCTTTGATAGAGTCACCAAAAACAGCGATTATCTACAAGAGAAAAGAGGTTTGAGCTGTCACAAGGAATCACATACAGATATTCCAGTATCAGCTCACGCCTCTGCTGTGAATGCATCTTCGTTTAACAAAATGCCCCTGGAGAATCTAACATGTCATGAATCAAGTGTTTATGAAAGAAAACAGTTTAAGAAAAACTCCTCTGTATTACAGTCCTTTATTAAACGTTTAAAATAAATCCTATTGATATCCTTCATTTTTACTGTTCTCTGAGATGAAGACATGGAAACTGACATTTTGTGTAAAAAGAAAAAAAAAGCACAAAATATTTGCTCACATCTCCTCCAAGAGAACATGTTTCAAAGTTTAAAATGCAAATGCACTCCCCTTCATATTATCTAAAAAACACTACTGAATAATAAATTCAGTATTTTTTTTTTTTCAGATCTATTAAGTCAGAGTAGATCAATTTAGTCTTAAACTTACTTTAAATTTGGTTCAAAGAGGAGGTTAAGTTTTACCGTGCAAATACTGGAAAGAGTCTGTAATTCTACAAACTTTTTTCAAAGGAGTCTTCATTTTCATTTGAGTAACAACTTGTCACTTCATGTCTAGATTATTCTCAAAGGCATCTACAGCAACCTTGTTTGAAGGATGTTTTATCTGAAGTACTGTTTCATAAAATCTAGTTTCACATAGATTTTTGTTTACACCTAGCTATGACAACTGTGTGATCCCATGACTGCTCTCTGCCTGTTTTCCTGTTAGCCAAAGGAAGGCTAATTGTGCTTCAAATAAAGAATTTAAGTTCCTGGGTACCAATGCAGTGCTTCACAGTATGACAGAACTACAGTAAAGTGTCACAATAGAGTAAGTGTGCAGAGAAAAGGCAGCAGGTTAGATCTACAGAACTTAGTGGGACCAGTTGCCTCTCTGACCCACAGAATTCAAGTGCTACATTTAGCACACACTCAGGTAAGCCCTTCAGACTTTCTCTATGGCGACACAAGCACATTCTCTGAAGGGTAGACTGTATTTTCATCAGTTTTTGTGCTGTGGCACACTCACTTGGCTTCTAGCAGGCTAGTTCACACAAGCTCAATGCTTGCACTGACTTGTCCTAATGGAGGCTTTGCACTGGAGGTGACCCACCCCATGCTGACTATAAGCACTGGCAGGACTGCTCAAGCAGCACATGGATCTTCACACAGCTTGTGAGATTTCTTGTGCAAAATTTTAACTTAAGAGAGGCAGTAAATACTGAGAAACAAATTTATGACTAAAGTTCAAAAACCAACCTCAGGGTGAGATCTGCATTTCTCCAAGGCATCTCCATAGATCTTATTTGGACTAGAAGAAGAGAATAGCTCTTTAAAAATGACATAGAACAAACCACCTGTAACAGAAACAACAGCAGATGGAATGAAAACTTATCAAACCAGATGGAATTAATGAAAAGTGTCTTCTGATAAAGAATGTAATTTAAAAAATAACCTGTAACACCAATTCCAACAAGCACCACAATAAAATAGGTAAAGTCTCTTCCAGCTTCTTTCACTGAAATTAAACAGAAAACAACACATAAGTTACAGCCTTGGATAATAACACTTGTATGACTTTCTTACATAAATGCTCTTCTGTTAGCTTGTTGCTCAAATAACATTTTAGCAGAAGAAAAAATTCCAATAAGTTTCCATAACTCCTCATTCCTGTAAAAGAGACCATGGAACATCTCTTATATTGTACAGGGCATGTTCACATCTCTGTGTTAAGCCTTATTATTTTCTGTTTGCCAGATGTTTTCAAGATCCAAAGTAGCAATTACTGCTCCTTTTTCAGCACATGAGAGCTAGGTTCTTTTAGGAGCTAATGAGGTATTTAGCACTGTAGCATTCATGCTACCACCTAAATCCACAATTGCTGCAATCCTTATGCAAAGAAGTAAAAATAAAAAAGTGAAAGCTCATAACTTGTGCATACTGAAAATAACTGATTTTATGAATTAGCAATCAACAGAACGATAAAAGGGGAATATTAGACCAAAATACATATTTTATTTATTAACATAATTAACTGCTGTTTGTCTGATTAGTTTTTATCTTTCAATTTTGATCTAAAGTACAAGTGTCAGTGTACACTGAAAAATAAGTTATATGAGATTCTCTGTTTCAAAATATTTGAGTACTTGGAAAGAGACTACCATCTTTTAGTGATAAAGTGTGCATTTTCAGTGGAGTACGGATTATGGAGGAAATGTTAATAACCATTTATCCTGCAGTCTTCTCATGAGTTGAGAGTTTTATAAGTAATTTCAAAGTACTTAGATTTTCTGAGGCTAATCATGTAGCAATCACTTTTCACTGAAGTGAATGAGACCAACTAAAGTGAAGGTAATCCATAAAGAAATTACCATCACATGTAGAGCTTTGACAATTTTGTTGGAGGTGAACTTATTTCAAAAGGCCTACAGACAGGCTGCACTGTGGTAGGTTTTCCTTCTGAAAAGGAAAACGAGAGGCTATTACATCTTGTGCCTGACAATTACTTAAATCAACCGGCTGCTTAGAAGAATTCCCATAAATTTGTTCTGATTGTGCAACGCATACACAGAAATATAACAGCCGCTCCAAACAATACGATGCGAAAAGAAACCGGCTTGGTGTGCTGACTTTTTTCCTAGACGCTTGTTGTTTGGAACTACAAACCACAAACGACTCCAAGACTTTAGCTGCAATAGGAACCGTCTCCAGCCCTTCTGAGCAGCCACAGCATCCTCTGCCTTACCTTTCTGTGCCGCCGATACCAGCGTTTCCTCGTTCAGCGCCCTTTGCACGGACACATCTTTGCTATCACCGCCAGGTTTTGCAGCTTTCAGTCCTCCCGCCTGCGTCCCGATGCTCTGACGGGCGGCCCTGAGCAGCAGCGGGGGCTGGTGCCGCCACCTGAGGCGGGAGCAGGACCCGGTGGCGGTGCCGGTGCCCAGGAGCGCCCACCCGCGAGTGGCGAGCAGCCAGCGGCCCAGGCAGCCCCGCCCGAGGG